AGCAGAGCACAGCAGAGCACAGCAGAGCACAGCAGAGCTAGTGTCTTCCATTCGCTTACCAGTTCCATGTCATCCCAGTTAGTAACAATACCGTGTTCCATTGGATAATTGAGAGACAACACACCACGCATGCTCTGTGCTGCATCACCAACATAACTGTCCTGGTACTCATGAGCCATCGCTTCCTGGAAAAGAAATAGTAAAGAAAAGGTTTCGACTTCCGCAACTGRATATCAAAGTACTGTGAAAACGAAGACAGAGTGGTGTCTATAAAGAGAGTACTTCAGCAGATGATGGTTGTCATGACCAAGGTTTCTTATATACGTCTATACTGCCTCTTTTACGTACCCCTCCCTCAGTTTATTGAATATCAAGCAATGCATTATTTTCCAGTTCTTTACAAGATTAACGCATGAAATGAGMGAATCTACTAGTGGATTACCGAACAATGCTGATGCTCGTKTTCCCTASTATCATAGCTAACCTTGTAGTGTGGACGACCAACGACAGCAGGAAAAACAACTCGTGGATACTCCTCGTTMGAGAAACCAGCTTTACACATCCCTGAACCATTGTCAATGACGATAACATTGCCACCACAGCGCTCCTACACAAAACAAGCAACATGGATGACGAGGCTTACATGTCATGTTACCGTAGAAGGTCAACCTATGAAGACTCTTTTAAGATCTATATATAAACGATTGAACGATCACGACCCAAGTCAAATAGAGTGGTTTTCATTAACCCGTGAAACACACTTTAGCGTATTTATCGCTATTACACTTTGGCTCTTTTGTTTCTTTTTGTCTCTACGCGACTATTACGATCTATTACACTCTAATTATTACACTTTGTTTCACGGGTTTATGAAAACCACTCTAATGAAAGGAAAGCAGTTTAACTACCAATGGGTGAACGCAGAAGTACATAACATGGTACTTCTGTTGAACGTCATTCTAGTAGAATGATTCTAGTAGAATGACTGCTAAATGTCTCTCTAGGAGAGATGGGTGAACATTTGATTGATTAAAATTATTTCACAGTTTCTTAGAAACAACATGAATCAAGATGGTTTACTAAATGGTACTGRAGACAGTAATAACATCTAACTTCATCTACTTACAAAAGCAGCAATRTGTTCTGTGGACGGTGTTACAACAGGTAAAAMTGGRGCAGATTGGCTCACACGACCAGCGGTTGCATATGCAGGAGTCATGCGCTCAGTATGATTTGACTGCGCACYAGGCAGGTTGGTATTCTTTTCCACATTACTTCCGGTATTTGAGAAATATTCGTCATTTTCTACGTCACTTCCGCCACTATCTTCTGAACCAATGAGATCTAGCAASTCATCTTGTTCTAAACGTGTTTCTGAATTATGGTTTTTTCTTGGATCAGAAGCTTCGTCATTTGTAGTTTTGATTGGTGACTTTATATCTGTTAAGAAATTTGGATTATTCTCGAGAGCTATTTGCGGTCTCTCGTCACGTGATAAATCAGGCGTCATCACGTGATTCTCAACCTTGGTTGTAACGTCATCTGAATTAATGTCTTCGAGAGAGTCGTCATCGGAATCTTGTTGTATTTTTAACAAATGTTGTTCTTTCTCAATTTTCATTGCATCATCAAGCAATCCACTCTCATCTAATGAAGATGGTAGGTTGTCCACCACATTGTCGGTCTCTTCTTGACCAATGGAAAGCTCTCTGTCTTCTGGTAGCGTCTGAAGTTGCTGTTCTTTTTCTGCTTTGAACATTTTTTCTAACAACTCAAATTCCTCCATGGAAGCGGTCTTGTTATCAGTAGTGTCGTCGTCTTCCTCGCTTAGAGCGCTTGCTTCCAGCGCCTCTCTCTCTACACTTGAAAGAGAATAATGTCTCATTCTCTCATTTCTTTCATCCGATTTTTTACTCTCAGTTTTTTCAATGTCATCTTGTTCTTCACCAAGAGAATTGCTACTCGACATTCCTTTGTTGTTGTCATCAATTTCCAGCTGTAAGTCTTCCATAACGTTCTCGGTGTCGTTCGAGAACACTTGATCTGAATCACTATTTCTCCCTCTTTGAGAAGGATAGGATTCCAATTCATTGACGTTTGACGAATTTTGATTAGCTTGGACCTTAGTTCCATCGACTTCATCTCGTTCTTCGTCGGTTGGGGTCGAACGAAATCGTTCAATCTCTTCCGAGCTATCGGTCGTATCTTTTCGATCCAGCTCATCGCTATACGCCTTTTTCAATAACTCAATAAGCTCTTGTTCTGTTGAAATAAGACTTTCATCACTTATGAAGTCCGATTGCTCAATGTCTATGTCTTGTATGCTGCCCACTGACGAACTAGCGCCCGAAGATGGGCTGTGTTTCCTGGGTCTAGTTTTGCCCATATTTGGTGACGATTCGATTTTGTCACTTGGAGGTCTGGGACTTGGTTTAGGAGATTCAACGATCTCAATGGTTTGTGTGTTTGTACGGGATTTGAAGTACTTGAGACGTTTCTGTCTGACATCGTTAGGAGCTTCAGCGTTATCTTTAGACTCCTAGGAATGAAGAAATAAGAAACAAAAATTGGTTTTTACATCATATGTTGTACAGCTGACATTTCAAAAACAAACTTTTCATTTGTCATCAAACTGCAGAATGCGGTTGAATAACCCTAAATAAGGATAGTTTCAAAAAGAGTGATTGATTTGTGTTTTTGTTAAACGAGAAAGMAACGAAAGTCACATAGAATTAACCATGGTGTATACGAAAGCTGTAATATTCAAAAATACGAATTTAAGAATATATAGTTGAGCTAAAACCTGCAGTTAGGAAAGTAGTTTTGTTATTTGCTCAAACATTTTGGTTTAAGGATTTAGTGAGTATACTCTAACAGGTTCTGTGTACACAAAAAGTAGTTAAAATGATTAAATTTMATKTTTYAACATACTTTTGATGTCAKTTCTTGTTGCTGTTCTTCGACTTGTTTGGCTTTGTTAGCAAGAKTTTCACGCATGCGTTGTTGTCGCTCCAGTTCTCTTTGTTTTTGTTTTTGTAGCCATTGTTGTTGCTTTTCCTCTTCTTGTTGTATTCGTTTTTGTTCTTCCTTGTACATTTGTCGTTGCTGGTCTAATACGTCTTGGAGTTCTCTCTGTTCGCGGTCGAAGACTTCTTGKAGTTGCCTGACTTCTGTGTCGTCGAAACTAGGCTGTTTGGGTGGTGAGGGTGTAGAGTTTGTGTTTGTCTAGGGATTATATGAATCAACATAAAAATGAAATCAATAGATTAATAAACCAACCACAGAACAAAATAACTAGCTAACCCAACCAACTAGTTTAACCACAAACTAACCAACCAATATGCCAACCAACTGACTAACAAACCGACCAACCAATCATACAACCAACCAACCAAACCGACCATCTTACCAACTAATCAACTAACCAACCGACCGACCAACTAACCAACCGACCGACCAATCTGTCTGCCAGCTAACCTACCAATCAATTATCAACTCTATCAAAAGAAATGTCAAAAAAGCGTGTCTCACCTGAGTACGAGGGACAGGTTGTGGCAGCTTTCGTTCCTTTTTCATTTCATTCAAGTTGACGGAGGTGACGTCTCCTGGGCTAGGTTTCCTTGAAGTACGATCTCTGGGCAGAGGAACCGGCCGCCTCTGGGGCGTGACATTTTGTTGTTCATCACTTTTAGGAACCTCAGCGTGTACTTCTGAGTCACGCAAAACAATCAAATTATTTTGTCTACTTTCTTCCGGAATTTCAATATGTCCGAGTTCTTCATTTTCAGTCACGCCAACGTCTCGTTTTGCGTGACTTTTATCTTGAAACATAACCCTATCATTTGGTTCACTATGGACAGGACTTTGACCATGCCTTGATTYATGGACTAGAGTAACGCCAGCATCTATWTTAGATTCCTGATCACTTCCACGTAATARAYCTTGATCTGATCTCAAGTCTTCAAGTTCTGTCACGYTAGCCTCCCCTTTTGCGCGACGTTTCTTATGTAACGCAATCAGATCATTATGTCCTGTGTCACTTCCAAACGTTTGCGTCTGTTTATCCTCGAGTGACGTCGACAGAGGTGACTTTCTTGGATCTATAGTCACGTGACCTTGGTTATCAGTGTTCGTATTGTTAATATCACGTGTCTGGAATATAGGAGCAATGTTTGCCATGGACGATACATTATGCACAGAATTCATTCCTGGATTTTCCTGGAAATGATTGTGCGCACCACAATTACCATGGTTACCGACTTGACTACCTGTACCTTTCAATCTATAAATACCAGTCATTCCATGCATTCCATTCATTCCGTAAACGTCATTACCAGCATATGACGTAGTTCTGCGATCGTTTGGTGTTACATTATGAGGATGATTGACAGGCATGTGTACTGCATTTTGATTGGTGAGATGCGGCACGTGATGGGAAGACACATTTTGATTACCCATGGAATGACTCGGCATATTACCAAACGTCGTATTAAACTGGTTACCCATAATACTATAATCGAGTGAAGTCGTCACGTGACTATCAAAAGCCTTTAATGAGTCCGTTTGCCTACCCATAATCCCATACGGAGAGTGATGTACCACGTGATCACCACTAGACAAATACCCTTTCTTTGATTCGCTGTTCCTTAATAATTGAATCATTTCAGGTGACAAGAACGTGAACAGCTTAACTAATTCTTTCTCCATTACGTTCAACTCGCGTTGGGCATCGAAATACTTTTGTTCAATGTCTTGCCTCGATGTCAAGTCAATATTTTGCTCTAAAGTTCTTCGGTAGAGACGAATCTGTTCTTTTAGGTGACTTTCCTGAGCGCGCAGCTCTTCGTAATAACTAAGTACACTTTCCGAAGTTTTTAGTCTTGAAAGTATGGAGTCATATTCGGGTGATGACGCGGAAAAAAGAATCCTGATTGGTCGATCTGGTCGATTATCGGGCGGATATCGTAAATACTCCACAGGGTAGTCAACAGATAATTCCTCGTATCCTTCGTCTTTAGCCATGGATAATTCAGCTGGAAGAACAGTCCGTCCATCGCGGTAATGATCCATAATTGCATTCGGTACTCTTTCGGAACGAAGTAGATTAGCCACTTCTACGTCTATTACGTCATCWGGACGTAACCCTGCTCGYGAAGGAGGATGGGATGTCCTCCCCTGATATCGCGATGAATCRGTTTTTGATTGACGTGAGTTTACATTTCGAGCCTGCAGTTCAAAGTGGTCATCGGTAGCATGTAAATTTAAAGAGGWTGYATTTTTTCGTCTGTCAGTCAATTCTTTCAGCTCCTGCTCAAGTCTTCTTTGCTCTTCAAGTAAGCGCGCTGCTTTGCCGCTTGAAGGTTGCCTATTGCGCATGCTCTGTTTTGGAATACCGTACGTTGAGTACGCTGATGAAGTTTCTTCATCACGTGCCAGCTGCCTTACTGGTCCTTGCCTGTTTCTTTTGTTTCTTTGAGAACAAAATCCTTTCATCTCTTCCCCCGCGTCTTCATGAAAATATCTTCCTTGGGGTCTTGAAGGGCTGGTCTGTACTGTCCCGYCCCCCCTAGGACTTGATCCTCTACCATCAACACCCCTTAAATGGTGACCTCTGGGGGTGGTACTTCGTTGAGCATTGTCTAGCGCTCCATGCCGCTGTAATGTTTCATTAGACTTTCTGCATTAAAAAAAAAAAGAGAGAAAAATAAATCATGATAAAATATCATATTAATGTCTATTAATGGCGCAAGCTTACGTACGTGCTTACGTACGTAATAAGGCAAATTTACGTAAAGAGTCTACGTACTTGATAACTTTCTTAAACTATAAATCCTACTATTATGTTCAACAATTCATTTAAACTGTTTTACGTATTAATGCCGCAAGTTTACGTACGCAACATTACCGTAAGAATCTACGTACCTGAGACCATTCTTCAAGCTATAAATCCCGCTATCACGTTCATCGATGTACGTGTATTCGGACGCTTGTCTTTTAGGTGACTTCAGTAGCTGTTCAAGTTCCTCACACCTTGTCGCGAGCAATCTCGAATTGTTTCCCTGACGAACGTTCTCCATACGATCCCCTAAAATAACTATAGCCTGTAATTCGTCTCTAGGGAGGGGAGGGTTGCTGCGGAGRAAGTCCTCCAGGGAATGTTGGTAATTAGGGGATCTTCGGGTTGGMTGATTGGTTCTTTTTTGGTTTGATAGGAATTCTGAGGCACGTTGGTACCAGTTCTCCGCCTATTGGAAGAAAATATGGTTAGAAAATACGGGCACCTCTATATTACGGACACCTCTATATTACGAACACCGCTATATTATGGACACCTCTATATTACGAACATCTCTACATTACGAACACCTTTATATTACGGACACCTCTATATTACGAACACCTCTATATTACGGACACCTCTATATTACGGACACCACTAGATTACAGACACCTCTATATTACAGACACCTCTAGATTACAGACACCTCTATATTACAGACACCACTAGATTACAGACACCTCTAGATTACAGACACCTCTATATTACAGACACCTCTAGATTACAGACACCTCTATAACTCAGACACAACATAGAAGTGTTTGTGCCTCAGCATTGTACCTTATTAATCAAAGAGAAATACTTAAAGGAAACTTCAAATTGACTCTTTCTGTCATCCAACTGCTGACTAAATGTCGTTAAAGATTTTGCTAGTAATTGTGCGGTGGCCTGGACCGAACTATGCTCTGATTGGCTCGCATGAGACACGTGGTTGACCTGTTGAAGTATTTCTTTGCCTTGTGATATTTTTTCCTAGAAAAAAGTGTAACAATTTAGTCATCAGAGAAAGAGCATATTTGAAACTAATGGGAGAATAACGCTTGCAGTTTTAGCGCGGGAGGGCAAAGTGGCCTGTAAAACTTGGATTTAAAATACCTGAGCAACTGGATTAATATCTTTGTCGAACTTGTGACGCAGAAATTGAGCTTCTTTAAGTGAATTTGGTATAGTATTATGTCTTTCAAGTTGTAAACTGCCTTCTTGCTGAATCCATCTAATAATCTAGGAAGATACAAGCGTATAGATGTCATCCATTCATCCAACCATTCATCAATCATCCATTCATTTCTTCAATCAGCCATCTATTCATTTATTCATTATTCTGCAGGATRAAYTCATCACAAGCAGCTAGTCTAACCTTTCTCATATTYTCTTCCAGTTGCACCACATTGACTTGTTTTCCCATTTCAATCTCTGTATTTGATTCATTCCATATCCTATCCATCTTTCTCTTGGCATCTAAAAGTTTCCCATAATACAATGGGATCGTAGCCATCATGGGCTTAAACAAAGGGTATCTAGACATTCGGGAAAACGTGTTATCCAAATAAGGTCTTTCAGTGTATTCGATTAGGAGATCTCCCTCTCTTAATGCTTCATCTAAATACAAACTCCTGAAAATTGGAAAAAAAACTGGATAAGGTACAGGCTTGCATGTAGGAAAAAAGAACCTCATATTAAATCAAAGCACAGGAGTCCCAACCTTCGTATTTGTGATTTCTTGACTTCAACTTGTTGCATCACAAGGTCAAGGTCATTGACGTCACTACTCGTTACCAGTCTCTTAAGGTTGACCATCTGYTCAAGRGCACTTGGCAAACGYGCTTTGATGTCTTCAACCAGACTGTAAAAGTCTTCCAATGTCTGAAAACAATAATGATAACAATGATGAATATGAGAATGATGATAGAAATGATAATGATGATAGTGATAATGATAATTATGATGATAATGAAAATGATGATGATGATAATGATGATGATGATGATGATAATAATGATGATGATAATGATTATGATGACGATAATGATGATAATGATGATAATAAATGCGATGGATGTGCTCTGGAATAAGTCATCTACAAAGTGACTTGGTATCATACCTTTTGCAGACTAAACCATGCACTAAGGTCATACTCTAAGCTACCACCAAAATAGTTGATCAGCTGTGTGGATTCAATGTATGTTTGGAGGTCTAAATTGCTCTTTAATACGGTTATCTGAATATGACAATAAACATAGGTCGGAATATATCTGTTTAGTAATAGTCATGTATCATCATCAACAAACAGTCAGTCCATCAATCATTCAGCACATCAATCAATCAGCTCATCAATCAATCAATCGGTTCATCAATCAGTCAGTCAATTCACCATTCAATCAATCAGCTCATCAATCAAACAGTTCATTAATCAATCAATCAGTTCATCAATCAATCAATCAGTTCATCAATCAATCAATCAGTTCATCAATCAATCAATCAGTTCATCAATCAGTCAGTCAATTCACCAATCAATCAATCAATTCACCATTCAATCAATCATCTCATCCACCAATCAATCAGCCAACATATTAGCCAAACAATGAACAACTCAAACAGCTCATCAATCCACCAACCAAATAGCTAATCATTCAATCTCTCAGCCAATAAATCAATAAATCAATCAGCTAATAAATCAGCCAACCAATAATATTATTAACCAGCCAATCAATCAACCAAACAAATAATCAACCAACCAATCAATCAATCAATCAATCAGCTGTCAATCAATCAATCAATCAATCAAACAATCAATCAATCAATCAATCAGCTATCAATCAATCAATCAATCAATCAATCAATCAATCAAAAAATCAATCAATCAATCAACCAGTCAGTCAAATGATTAGCCAGTCCATATAGTCAGTCCATCAAACAGTTAATCAAGTTCATACTCACTTGGAAAGAAAGTACACCTGATTTTTGCTGCTGATAAATCTCCTTTGAAAGGTGTTTTTTGGTAGCTTTATTAACGGGTAATATAAGATACAGGACTGAAACCTTTCCAACAGATACCTAGACAAAATTGACAGGTGTCAATCATACATACGCCATACTATTGCTGGTTGTACATGGGAAGAAKTGAGTACTGTCGCAGCTGAACAAGACGAGGGGAATTGTTCAACAWGGACCTTATATACAACTAGGTGCAATGACCATGTAAGAAAAACAAATAGAAACCTGTAAGTCTTGTATAATGGAGAGCACCAGTGACGTGATTTCCTGGGTTGCATCTCTCAAATCTACTAAAATACTTAAAGCTGTACTTGAAAACCATAACCTGCAAGATTAATAGTCGACTTTAGACACTTCGATTGACAAAGGAATTGCAGATGAGTCTCCAGGGGATGAAAAATTATTTTGTTTCCCCATGCCTCACTTACAAGGCATTGTGCATGTATCAATATTCAACCAGAATATCAAAAATGGGCTGTTATTCATTTCAAATGAAAACACAGTCTATACATGTAGCCTAGCACATAGTTAATAGAGAGGATTAGTCCTCTCTATTAACTATATGCAGGCCTATAGCATTACAGGTTTGTATCATAGAATCAATCTCTGGTACTTACCTTGACAGATATGCATAATACCTAAGCAAATGAAGTCTGTTTTCTTTGCTTAGATTAAGAAGGTTTGGATACTTGCTTGGGGGAAGAATGAGGATTGGATTTCCAGATTTGTCAAAGCCTCCTACATGGATACATATAGGAATATTATAAAATATTTTTAATATTRAAGTCAACTATAAAACTAAGTCAGAATATAACGTTATAAACAATTGTCTTTAGTAGTCTGGGGCGGATCCAGGGGAGGTGAATTGGGTACGGACACACCCCCTTTTTTGAATGACGTACTTTTTTCTATATCAGTATTCAAAATGTTTTTTCTGCTGTTTATAAGTTACTTCTGTTGTACTTTTATCGAGAAAACCAGTAGCATGCACAACATGTGTCTGCCACTATAAGATCATTCCATCTGCTACTTAGTTGTTAGCTTTTTTGTTATACTGACAATAGTGCCCCCTTGTAAAATGCTGGATCCGCCCTGGTAAAGTATGATAAGATTATGGAAGAAGCTGAAAATGAGCAAAATAAAAGTTTTTCATTGTTATTTCATGTTTTATTCACCAATTCCTTCTATGTTTCCTGATTTTCACCATACATACATACATGTATATCGGTTTTTAGACCACGTTCTATGCTTACTTCACACGTGAAAATGGACCCTTGTTGCACGTACAGCAAGACAAACCTGGTAAAACAGCAGCTTGTGACAAGACTAGTTCATCTTTGGCCTTCAAAAGGCGAATTTCCTTCTGGTTTCCTTTTGTCATGCTAAATGTATAAATTCATAATCAATGTCAGTAATATATTTTAAATATGAATAATAAGTTATTTATATAACTCCTAGATAGTTACAAAATTCAAAAATGACCGGCAAAGACAGAAAGAAAGGCTAGAGTCCTGCATATGAAAGCCAAGAAACACTAGCATGTTGCTGTGATTATCAAGGAAAGACAGGCTAGGCCCCCTTGATGGTAATCCAATCCTAGTGGCATTACATTATAAGAGTAGATAAAGGGTACAATCAAAGACACCTTAAAAAGAGGCATAGCAAGTATTCACACCTCTTAAATATTGGACAAATAGGGAGGGAATCTCACCCCAGTGAGAACAGATTTATATAATTAAGATAGATCAGAAACATTAAAGCTACACTTTACTCTACTTGCAGCTCTATATTATTCTAGTATTGCACTCCTTCATTGTATTCCATATCACAAGATTTCAAATAACCGGATTTAAAAAACGAAAACATCTGATATCTATTTTTTATGCTCGGTTTGTGAAAAACAGCTGAAATCTTGACCGGAAGAGAACGCAAAGAGCTATTCATTCTTTAATGTTCATCATAAAACGACATATAAGAAGCTCCTTACGATTTTCTGTTCATTTATATATTCTTCAAAAGTTTAGAATCTAATACGATTTTTTAGCGATACAGTAGCTGTATCGTAGCAACTACACAGTTGAATAAACGAAGGTATGYATCGATAGAGCGGGAAATACAACGCGAAAACCAGATATTTTAAGAAAACTAACAGACGCTTTACACTGATTTTKGTTACATATTTCATTACCTAACAGGCAAATATACTAAATCAAATAAACCACAAACGATATAATAAGCTACGAGGATCGCTAAATCCCTTGTTTTGAAGCTCGTTAACTCGTGTCTCCGCACTCACTCAGTTGGAAGCCATAGTAGTTTCTACTACAACTTCGTAAGCTATTTTAAYGGCTTAAAAGCTTTTATTTGTAGCTCTAGTTGGTTAGGCAAACAARCTAAAACTTACCTTATTTATCTTCAAATAGGTTTTAAACTAGAAACTTTTTTCTCTGAGAGTTGAGAGGTAGAGTTGAGTCCTGTTCTGATGCTCGTGCATCGTAACTTGAATGTTATATTCTAGATCAAAGTTTACCTCTTTTCAAATTAAAAGTTCACACATTTGTAGTCKTTTATAGCTGACAACGATTGTGAGCCAARTTGACASAAAATAAATAAAGACTGGGCTAATTTCCAACCATTTTAAACCACGCTTACCACACAAGCTCTTGGAATGTTTACAGAACTGTCAAGATAAATCTGAGGAGGGGTGGGAGGGGTAAGGAGTTTGCTACTCCGAAGAAATCGCGAGAATCTCGCGAATCTTAGAACGAACTTTGATATCGAAATTCAATGGAAATTATAAGATATTTTGATTATCTTATCGAATTTTTTTACTAAACATACTTTTATAACTATTTATTGTTTCTTTTTAACGCCCCACAGTTAATTTAATTTTCGAAAAAAAATCCCGAAGGACCRCCGAACGGATATCGATCACAGCATACCAAGGAACGCCTGATGACTTTTAACATTMAAGAAGTTTTAAATATGKCGGCGAGCTGATCAAGRRAAAGTGGAATAAAGCGAAGAGATACGACGTGATAAGTGTACAAAGCARACATGTGGYCTTTACGACAGCAAACTAGGAGGATTTCACAGYATTTTGACACTTCAACAAGAACTGGAAAGAGGAATGTCATTGTCTTTGTTTACGTCTTGGGATTTATTGGACTACATTGGGTATGGAAGCATTCTAAGGGTTTTAGAAGAATAGATGACCAAGAAAGCGTGGAAAACAAGAATGATGTACCCGCGAAATCGTAAAGACACTGCTGAAATATTCTCAAAACGTCTTTTTAAAATAACTTCCAGATACAGAGAAATTATTCATGACTTGGTGTTCCGAGTTTTACAAAAAGAATTCAGACTTTTGTTATAAAGCAATCATTTCGAAAAGAGTTTGTGTTTTGTTTTTTTATATTTTTATAAATGGACTAAGCAATGAAGTTCGAGTATATATATGTATTCT